ATCACTAAATATGTTTTGTTCCTTTTTTTTTTTTATATATATATATAAAAAGTTCAAACATTTTTCAATCAAGTAATTCTTTAGAGAAGATTTTTTCTACAACATATACTACCTATAACATTTTTACCCCTTGCGCACATGGCTCGACTCCGATTCGCCGGATCAGTCATAAACAAGTTTTTATCTTTTCACAAGAAAATATTCTGTGTATCTAATCTCACACCACTTTTGTACAAGATATTATAATATGGTTCTGGTAATATTATTGTAAGATTCTGACAATAAAGTAAACGATCCAATACAAAATCAATTAACATCAACATTTTTTAATGTGGGAAATAATGCATTTATAAGTGTCAAGTACTAAAAAAAGAAACGAGAATATTTTCTATGCATGTATCCACCAAAATATTATCCCTTTCCTTCACTGATCTGAAACTTCATGATTAATAATGATAGTGCATAATACAATGATTTATTCTACTTTATTTTGTAAGAAAATAAAAATTAATGAAAAATTCTTTAGATATAAAACAGAGATGCAGGACAGTTACAAAGTTGTGTAAGTTCAAGCAATAATTAGGGACTGATTTTGGAAAGTATAAAAATCATCTCATTTCAATGAAAAGACAAAAAAAGAAGAGAGAAATTTTGCCTCAAGTTGGGAATTATTTTAAATTAAATTGTATTTCTATAATGATAAATAGAAATATTTTATAATATAGAATAGTTTCCAACATACATAAGAAAAACCTATAAATAATCTGCAGCTCTAAAACCTTAGCCTGTAGCCTCACGATAATAAATTTTTATTTCTAGATTATAAAGTAACACTTTCTAACTTCTCGAATATTTGATATACATGACTTAGTTTGTTAGTGCGTCAATATTTTTACACAAAGTGCATTGAGTTTAATACTTTCATCATTATTAAATTTAGTGTATTGGCTTATTGGTGAAGTAGAAAGTTGATGTTAATCGTCAGTTTGTAAAAGAATTGTCTTAAACATTGTCTCGGTTGTGTTCCAGGAGGCTCAGGCTTTGGCGGAAAGCAGAGAGGTGGTCGTCAAACCCAAAGGCATCAGCCCTATTAATGTCGCAAATTCATTCTTTCGACAGTGATGCCACTTGCATCATAACTATTGGTGAGTTTCTCTCTCTTTTTTCGACCTTGAATCAGTAAGTTGACAGTATAATATTCTAACTGTTTTGTGTACAAAAGTTTTTTTTTTTTTTTTTAAATTTATGTTTACTTGATAATAATGTTGCTTTGATCCGAGTTAATTAACTGAAAAATTTTCTCGATTTTTTTTTGATATGTTTATTTTGCTAATTTGTCTTTGATTTGTTTAATCTAACATTTGTAAATTTAACTTGTTTAATCAGTTGATTAATTTTATTCATTAGTTTTTATTTTCATCATGTACAATTTTCACTTGCCTGACTGCCCTTCCAATAGTATACTGAAGTAGGTGTACTCAGTAGATGTGATGCAAAGTGATTAGTAAACTAATGAATGTGGATATTTTTTACAGGTCACCCATCCTTTACTCCCAACCCATTGCATCATTCCATGACACGTCGTTTTCAGCAAAAAACCCAGAACCAAACGCAACAGCGCAAGCAACAACCATCATCAAAAAGCAATTATCGTGCATAGCCGTCAAAACTATTGATCATTCAGAAGCATTTGTGACAAAAATCTGTTTTGCTAAAAAGCAACAACAGCAACTCTCTTCGATGGCTCTTTCGAGTTTCATCGATCTCATTGTATAGACTTAAGGAAGCAAGACGAATAGTTATGTTCGTCAAATTATTGCCTGTAATAACTGTACTGTCTTCGATTTATACACCCGATAGCTTTTCTCAACTGATAATCGTTAACTATGTCCATCTTAAGTTTATCTTTTGAAGAAGTTCCTCGTCAATGTATATTATCTATAATTTTTTCTCATTATTAAAATAAAATCTAGTGTTTGTATGTTTTTGAATGAAAGTTATTAAAAACAATTTAAGCGAGTGCTTATTTTTTTAATTTTTTTTCTAAAACATTATGTTTGAAAAACTAATCACAAAATTAAATTGAAGGAGTAACGCTATTGTAGGTATGATTTAACGGTGGCAAAGTGTACAAAACTAAAGTCATCAATCTTGAACGGTTAATAACGTGTAGGTCAGAATAATCGCAAAAGGAAAATAAGGAAGCAAGTGAAATGGTGAATTAGTATTATTTGTAACTTAGTTTTATGTGCAAGTAACTAGCTAATCATTTATAGAATAAGTAGGCAACGTACTTTTTACATACTAAGAACATACGAATTTAAAAATGAAAATCTGTCTTGCTCAATTGGAATCCAAAGCCTTCCAGAAGCGTAGACAGATGTAAAAAGACGATTGCTTCTTTAATGGAGATTATTGTACTCCCATAGTATCTAGTAATTATATATAATCAAATCCGTTTTGTGTATATAAATAATTTATGCAGTTGTCTTGAACTTTTTCTCTTGTACACTACATAAAATACCCAACTAAAATTTCTTCGTGAATCCTTTTTTCATTGTACTATGTATTATGGTACACTGTATTTCTGAAAAAGTTGACTACCGTAAAATTAGTAGAATTACTGTAAGGCAAGCACAGTATAATTTACACGTTTAAGTTTTGCCGTAATGGTGAGTGTACATAAAAACTTATTTTGTAAGAAGCCTAACTAATTTTGTGTTCGGGAAATTGATTTTAATAAAAATTACCAAATTACAAAAGTACACTTGTTTTATTATTTAGCTCACAATCAAGCTTTTGTGTTCACATTAAGTAGACGAGAAAAGTGGTTCTTGCGCTGTGTTATTTGTACGGGTGCATACTTTTGGTTTGGTCCCCAGGTACAATACTATGTACAGTAATTTGTGCGTGTTAAAGGAACACTTGAGTGTAAGTTAAACTCCTTACAAAATCAGTATTTATCTTTCTACTTGCAAAATTTACGTCGTTTTTAAAACATGTCAATAAATACGATCACCACAGAATGGCTCAATAGTTTTATTTTGATACGAGTCTTAAAAGTTACCGTGATGGCTTTCTCAACAAATAATCTGCATCACTAAATATGTTTTGTTCCTTACGTGCCCTGGAGCAAGGTGTGTATTTACATAAGCTCCAGATCGTAATGGGTTAGATTGTTATCAACATACGAAGTAGTTCTTTGTGGAGCTTATGAGCGTATTTGAAAATGCGGGCGCCCGAAAGGAATGATTTTGATACGTTTCTAAATGCTGAAGTCGGGCGCCCGTCTTTTCATTATCAACTGTGTGTGGAATAGCAAATGACACGTGCAGACGGCTGAACAGATTTACAGATCTAGTTAGAGCAATGATGCGTAATTATAGCGTCAGCAAAACAACCGGATGACACTTGGTAACATTGCAGCAGAAGCGATTTCCAACCTTCCGTCCATTTGAACTAATGCTCCCCATTCATCGAGATATGGGGCGATGAAAAAAAATTTTTTTTCGCTTGTTAACCGAACCAAACTACGGTTAACAGAAAGTTTACACCTAACGAATACCACACAATTTTTGCCAGCCGAAACTTTAAAACACGGAATTATTTAAAAAAAATACAAGTTATTAAAACTTTTAAATACTTATTATTAGTTATTATTTTGTTTTGTTCTCGAGATCGAACGGTACAACCGTGCCCATAAAGATTATTATTTTTTATTATTTTTTTCTATCTGATATAAAATATAAAACAATAAATATAATCTATTATTAACAATTATTAATAGCTATTAGTTTTTTCAAAATCTTAAAAGTCAAGTATTAAATAGTGATCAGTAATCATGAAAGTTGTTTCTAAGTGCTACTTTTTTCGATGTTTCTATACTGAGATTCATGATGACGAAAACAAAATAATGAAAAATGATAAAAAATAACAATACTTGTTTAATTTTATTATAGTCTCAAATCTGAACTTTATAAAATATTACTATTAGTTATTATTTTTGTTTCGTTCCTTAATTACAAAAAAAAATTTCCGCGTGGATGTCAAAGCTGAATGACTAGTTTCTGAAATAAGTGTTAAAGGACATTGGTAACATTTTTTTTTTTTTTTAATATTGATCGAATAACGAAACCAGCAGAGTAACCCACAACATTGTCCATAGATATGTATTTTTTTCTTGTTCCTTTACCATGGAATAGTGGTGAATTAAAGTTAAGATCTATGACTGTAAGCTTGAATGTCTCATTTTGAGGATCGGTAGGCATGTCATTATTATCACTTTTGACATCTGAAATGTGCAAAATTTCCGTGTTATCTTGGCTTAAATAGTTTCCGTACGGTGACTCCTTAACGTCAGCATGAACTAGAATTTTTTTTTAAATTCCTTCGAACTAATAATTTGTAGGATTATTGCTGAAACCTCCTTAAGCTCTAAATGCACTAGAAATATTTTCCAAATGGTCTTGCAACAGTTGGTACGTTAGTAAAAATCCATCATTCTTGTTAAAATGCTGATATAAAATACTCACGACGTTGAACAATGAAGTTACGATTCCACTATTCTATGGTAAAGGAACAAGAAAAAATATGTACACAATGTCGTGGGTCACTCTGCTGGTTTCGTTATTCTATCAATATTAAAATAAAACAAAATGTTACCACTGTCCTTTGACACTCACTTCAGAAACTAGTAATTAAGCTTTGACAGAAATAAAAAATAGGGGTCGTGTGATTTTGCCATCACGGAATATTATAGCAGTTTGCAAAATTGTTGAAAAAGGTATTTAGAGTGTATTACAAAGGAAAAAAAAATATATTCACCGAAATCGTTAAAATTGTAAAGAAGAATTTTCCCTGACGATATTTTTCCGATCAATCATACAGATGATCCATTTTTAACATAGATTACAATTACTTAAACAAATTATTACTATGTACCTACGCATTAGGATTCATCATTACGAAAAACAAAAAAAATCTTGCTGTTAAAAAAATTTGAAGAATTTATACTCAAGTTATATTATTGCGCAATCGATGATGTTTCATTAGAAGCAAATTAACGAAAGCTGTTTTTAAATCTTAAAAGATCTTTATAGATTTCTGAGATTGCTGTGAGGCTACAATGAAAAGCTGATCTTTCTCACGTAATAGATTCTTTGTTTGTCGATTTTGACGCTGCTGTTCCAATCTCGATAAATTTTCTGCGTTAGTTTCCTGACGCCTAAAATTGTATTTATTGAATACATTTGAAGTTTTTCTTCCAATTCACCCTGTTGCGACTTTTGGCATGCCTAAAATTTTTGTGACCCCTAAAGGCTGTTTTCTGTCAACTTTGTTAAGTTCTAATATATTTGTTGGCAAGGTAGTTCGACGTCCGATGGCCCTAAAAAAGACCGGTGAGCTTCTTAAGTTAACTCTTTCTTGACTGCAGTTAACAGCAATTGTGACTGCCTAGATACCTCAGGGTGATCTTCTCTGGCCTGCTGTTGACGCCCCAGACTGATCGGGAGAAAAATTACAAAGTCCGAAGCTTTGGAGCTAGTTGTAAAGATCTTTCCCAACGTCTCCTGGTATAACGTCGAAGACTTTTAGTCGACGAATCGCTTCCGGAAATGGTAATAAAAATGTATTTGTTGGCAAGGTAGTTTACACTTAGGGGGATCCTAAAAAGAACCGATGAAATTGATGGTTAAGTAGGGAACGTAAATACTTGTAATGGCCCTAAAAAGCGCCAGTGGTGAAACTTCCAGGCTATTCTTTATTATTATTCCTGATGATAAAGAGCTGGCTACGGGTAGCTTCCCAATCAAAAACTTCAATGCTGAATCAATGCTGAATCAACGTTGATTTTAGCGATAAATCAACGCTGAACCAATGTTGAATCAACGATGATTCCATGAATGACGGAACACTGAAATCAGTCGTAATTTACATTGTTGATTCAACAATGATTCAACGTTGAATAAACACTGATTCAACGTTGAATCAGCGTTGAATCAGCGTTGATTTAAACGTCAATTTAATAATAGAAAAATACTCTTGCTCTGGAAGTCTCTATGTACGGAGTCTGTGATGGAGGGAGGTACGCCGCTGACCAAAGAATATCTCGTCTTCGGGTCGTTCCCCGGATAACCAACCGCTCATCGTCTTAGACGGGAACATGTGGGTATGCGCGTTGGGGACACGACCACTAAGAAGGTAGCCGTTGTGGCTGCCCGTGCTCCTCAGAGCTGTCTTCCCTGGCTTACATTTGTAGCCAAAAATTCTCTGACTTCACCAGGCGAGAGTGTGGGACTGCCACTAAACTCTGAAGAGTTGGAGCCGGTTGTGGTCTGGCTAAATACGTCTTCTGGTATTACGCCAGAGACGTCATCGTTTAGAATAATTTTTTTATTGGTGGCACTCGTCGAGATTCAGAGTGAATGTAGACCTAGGTCCCTTCCCTCTCAGAGAAGACTGTCGTCCGTAGCCGGGATATCCAGCTGCACGACTATCATCTACATTCTCTATACAGCTTGATGAACTGCCGGAGGACGACTTCATCGTTTTTTGAGACGCTCGGGCGTATTGTAACCACACTTATTTAATTCTGTTGCAGGTAGCATCGATTTTATGTCGATGCCACCTAACGGATTTTACTGAACTAAAGTGAAAAGCTGGCGTATTTTTGCAAAACTTTGAGCTTATTTTTTGCTATTGTTATTAAATTTCTAAGATAAAAACTATACTAAAACCATCTAGGAAGTCATGAATCAGTGTGCAAAATTTCAGCAAAACCGGTTCAGTTGTTATTGCGGTTAGCGATTACAACGGTTTTAGCGACTTTGCGTAATATTTTAGTAAGATTGGCTGAAGAGGTAGAGGGGTATCCAGGTATAGTTATATCTGCTCTTTTCTCCTACTACCTCCACTCTTAGAGACGACTATAACTATATACATTACACGGAGCGCGCGGTGGCTCAGTCGGCTAGGTCGTGGATTGGCATGCGGGAGACCGTGGTTCGATTCCCGGCCAGTGCGACTTTGCGGGCAAGTACACTCGCCGTACCTTGATTCGCAAACCACGAAGTTTGAAGTCTTAAATTTTTTTATGACAAATAAACATAAAATATGATTTTAACATTGTTCAATAGTTGTTAATATGATAGTTGTTTATCATTATATTCTTATTTCATGGTTATGGTTGCTCCTCGTGTTTTAATACGATAAATTACTTCAAGAATTCAAACTTCGCGGTTTGCGAATCATGGTACTGTGAGTGTACCTCTGTGTATTTTCACATGTGCTTTTTCACCACGCAATGCTTCTCAAGGAGGGTTTAAGCGACCTTCTCGCAGTATAATTGCCTAATTTCCCCCTACCCCCCTCCCAGTAATGGGAGGCCTCTCATTCCTCTTCCCTTCCTTCTCCAAAGTGCTAAGTGCCCATAGTAGAGCCCTTATCAAAGGAGCCGGACGTAGAGAACTATAGTATAAAAACGAAAAAAAAAAAACTATATACACGGAAGGGGGCTAGCCAATCATCGTAGTGTAAGAGAGAGAAAGCATATCCTGCTTTACGGGCCCTCTCTCTCTTTGCTATAGTATCGCGGCCGAAGCATTGTATGCCCCCTCTAGGTGTAATATGCTCTAAGGTACAATCAAAGAAAGTCGAGCAACTTAACCACCTGGAAGGTAGCACGCAAATTATCGACTTATGTAATAAAAAAAATACTAGGCGACGTGGTTTTATCTGCACATTTCATTTATGCAAATAATTAGAT